CTGGAAGATGCTTATTCATGAATAAATAAAGAAATAAATGATTATAAATGAAATATATAAATATAGTAATATGCTAGTTAAATTAGTAGAACAAAAGAAAAGAGAAATTCTACTAAGAAACTATTTATAGCTAAAATAATTCAAAATAATCAGATGACTTTTCTTGGCATGATTGGGTGATTGTGGTGTAATAAGTCACATGTGATGCAGTATGTGGCATAATAATAATCTGTGAGATAAAAGATAAATATAATATAATTATTAATAACTAATCTAATTTTATTACATTATATTTTATTTATCAATCAAGTACTTTATTAAGACTAATACATCTATAAATTATAAATAATTAAATATTATCTATGAAAAATCTAGATTATAAATTATATAAATATTATATATTAATCTAATAATAATTTTTAATAAAAAATTATATATTTTAATAATGAATTATATAATTATTATTAATTTGATATATAAAAGTTAATATAATTAATAGATTATAAACTTATTAATATTGTAAAAATTAATTTAGTCAGATAATAATTCATAATATATGAATATAAAAATCATTTCAGTTATATAATCTAAATTAAGTTAATTTATAATATATATATATTATAACTAATTAAAGTATTATATAATAATAATATTTTTAAAATATAAAAAATAATAGATAAATTTATCTAACAAGAATTATAAAATGAGAATAAATCTCTTAATATGATAAAAATCTAAATTTTTAAATATAAATTTTACATCAAAAGATTTTTACTCTCTTATTATAATAAAAAAAAATTTGAAATATTTGCTATAATAAAGTATTTTATAAAAATATTAATATATAATAGATATTATTTTAAAATAGAAAAATGAATTATTTTCATATCTTGATATATGTATAATATAAACTAATTTATAACAAAACCAAATTTGCTTTAATTTATATTAAAAGTTTTCTAGAATCTGAGCATTTTTCATTAATAAATCTGATTCCACTCTGTTATTCATTTTAAGAGAAAAACAATGTGGAAGATTTCGTTTATTTACTTGTCAAGAACTGAAAAATTGATACTTTTTATGACCCATAAAAGAAGGCGATTGACGGGGAGGATTACAGGAATGATCAAGATAATTGTCCTCTGCAAGGAGAATCGTCTGAACTTGGTGTATTATAAATGTTTTTCTGAAATCGCTTCTATTTACGCGACTCGGTTGGGAACACAAGGTTTCCACGTGTATCATTTAAACTAAGAAACAACGCGTAGAATTACAACCTATCGCTATATAATAATGGACAATTTCTTTTCAGAACGTCCAACCAAAGCACGTAATTCAACTTTAAACCAACAACCTCAGCCCTGGGTTGAAAAATAGTAAGTTTGCGCGTTAGTTACCAGCTTTTTTAGCTTTAAAATTGGCCTAATTTTATTTTCGAACAGCCGTCCAAAATCCATTGACGATGTTACTGCTCAAGAACAAACAGTAGCGGTTCTAAAAAAATCTATAGAATCAAAAAATGTAAAGCCCAAACATTCATCATATGTTTTTATTTAAGAAAAAAATTAACAGGTGATTTATCCATCTTGTTTTAAATATTAGTTACCTCATATGCTATTTTATGGTCCTCCAGGAACTGGCAAAACTTCCACAATATTAGCATTAGCTCGAGAACTTTACGAGTATAAACGTTTCACACATTCTACTGAGAGGATTCGTCCTGTTAATTTTTTTAATGATCTTAATTAGTTAAAGTTCGTGTTTATAGGCCCGAAATTTTTAGGGATCGAGTCTTGGAGCTCAACGCATCAGATGAACGAGGCATCAATATTGTCAGAGAAAAGATAAAAAACTTTGCACGGGTCATTGTTGGTAATCGAGGGGAAAGGTAAAAAACCAATTAAGTCCCATCTTATTTGAAGTTTCGCTTCCCATTAATCCTTGAAATTTATTCAATTAAGCAAATACCCAAATCCTCCTTACAAAATAATAATTCTCGATGAAGCCGATCAGATGACAAACGATGCTCAAACAGCGCTACGAAGAACAATGGAAACTTACTCTCGAGTCACCCGTTTCTGTTTAATATGCAATTATGTTTCACGGTAATTCGATATGTCCCATTTAATCAGTGACTTAGGAACTCGTCATTGTCATTTCATATATTTAAGTTTATGGTAGCATCATTGAGCCATTAGCGTCGCGTTGTGCCAAATTTCGCTTCAAGCCATTAAATATTGAGGATGCTAGAGAACGTCTTCAAATGATTTGTGAAAAAGAGGGAATTAGATATGAACCAGAGGTATGCAAATGGTCAATTATTTCTCGTTTTACCTGATAAAAACTTTTTGTGTTGTATACTTGAAAAAATTTCTAGGCATTGGATCAGTTGATTTCCGCTTCGGAGGGAGATTTGAGAAAGGCAATCATGTATCTTCAGAGTGCTTATCGTCTCCATAAGAATGAGCTTATCACTAGATCATCCATTCAGGAAATCGCTGGGGTATCAACCACTCATTTTAATTATTATTTTTGAAATCTTTTGAAGTATTGGATTAATAGAAAAATTTGTTCACAGACTATACCTGCAAGTATTATTGAGAATCTTCTCGGACAAGCTTATCTTTCGTCATACACAGGAATTGAAAGTGCGGTCAGAGAAATTGTGAAATCTGGTTATTCTTCGAATCAAGCCTTATTGCAGGTAAACAAACATTTGATTATTTTCTGCAAAAACCTGTCTGTCTTTAATTTAATTTTATCATCGACCCAGATTCAAGAAAAAATTGTAAGTGAAGATCGGCTTACAGATATTCAAAAATCGACGATCTCTCAATACATTAGTGAAGTAGACCATAATCTTAATGATGGTTCAGATGAGCATTTGCAAATATTAGCTCTAATGTTAAATATCATGAGAGTGCTATAAATTGGAAAGTTTCTAATAATACATAAATTTTTGTGGCTTTTATTATTTTCTTTTTACAATTCACTTAAAATCTTATTTAGACGTATTTGTATAAATCCAGTCATCCCATTTTGTATAATTCAAAAAAATGTATAAATAAAATTTTACTGTTTTAATTAATATAAAGATTGATGAAATTGCTTTATACACGGATGTTAAAATAAATAAACTGCTATAAATAGAATGGCTCGAGAGCTTATATTGAATAAATAAAATTTTGTCTCATGAAGCTGCAGTTTTCAACTGTTCAAGTTGAGCTGTTAGTGCACGAATGGTAACATCTCGTTGTGCCACTTGGTTTCGCAAATCTTCGTTTTCTTGGCGAAGGGTGTGATATGCTTCTTGATACTATTTAGATTGCAAGGTAGATTATCGACGAATTCAATATATGATATATCGATTATTGAAAAATTATACAAACCTCTTTTTCAGTTTTTGGCAATTGCAATTCTTTCTCTTCTTCTTTTGGCGCTGAAGAAACGAATTCTTTCTTCTCTTTTGATTGGAATCCGTGCTCTAAGCTGATTGTTTTCGGATTTGCATTCTTACCATCAAAGAACTCGTCAGCAGTAAGAGCGGGTTCATCGCTCACAGTGGGGGGATATATATCAGATTGGAAAGCATCCGACTGTTATGATTAATACATATTAATGAATAGAAAACAAACAAAACAAATATTGTCGATCTTAATATGATAAAAATAACTTACCCGACGTGGCAAAACAAACGAAATTGGCTCGATTAAGTTGCCGCTAACTTTGTATGCTCTTGCAATCTCACACTCGGTAACATTTAATGCTCGTTTTGGTAAAAATGCCATCCCACGTTGAGGTTCGGATGATTTGTATTCTGAAAGGGAGTATAATTCATCATTTTCAAATTCATAATAGCGAATATTACCGTCACTTTAAATATAACGAAAAATAATTAATTTTAGCTAATAATTACATCAAATAACCGATATGAATATTACACTTACCCCTAATTTAGCAAATATCATATAAAATCAAATAGTTAAAAATTAATAAATGTACATAACGGAGTTTGGATATGAATTATTGATAGATCATATTCGATTACCTTTCCAGCGAGATATAAAATTTTTGTGTCATTGTCATAGAAAGGCATGACAATTCCCGATGAGGTATCAAGGTTAAAATCTTTGATTGGTTTACCCAGTGTGGTCGTATCCCAAAGCCACACTTGCCGATCACTCATCTTTGAGAAACCTGTGGTCACAATTCTATCACTTTCACCAAGCCAAACTACTCGAGCGCCTTTCACTCCTTGATGATTATCAGCTTGTATTGCAACTTTATTTGCTCTCACATCAAAAATCCGTAATTTTTTATCACGTGAAGTAGTCGCTAACAAGCTACCATTCCAATTCCATGCGAGTGATTGTACAAAGTCCGTAAATCCGGTTAATTGTAATTTTTCAATTCCCTTCTCGATGTCCCATAATTTTATTGTCAGATCCGCGGATGAAGATGCTAGAACATTGTCCGCAGTAGGATGAAATAAAACGTGTCCAACTTTCCTAATCAATTTTGTGTAAGGCTGAGTTTTTCTGAATTTAGCATCTAGATGAATTTAAATAGTATGTGGCATACCTTCCATGACCACTCAATTTTGCAGCAGGTTGAATATCTGGTATCTCTTTGTCTAGATCACTAAGATCGGGAAGCTCTTCGGGAATAGTCCAAATCATCACTTTGGTGTCTTCTGAAGCAGAAGCGATCACATAGTCATTAAAATTGGCGAAATCCGTATCCAATACGGGAGCGGTATGAGCTCGATAGAGTGGCAAATTATCAGGAATTTTGCCTAATAATAATAATAATAATATTGATAGGTCAATACAATAAGGTTCAAAGCATTAAAACAAAAAAAAACACTCTTAAACTTTCTGACCAGCGTTTTTATGAGGAATTACAGCGAAAGCTCCACCACCTCCAGCATTCCAATTGAGGGCGACAAAAGTCTATATCATAATACATTGAATCAATCTGCAATCTATCAATTAACTTATAATACGTTCTAATTCTTACCGGATTAACTTTGACTAAGTTGGTATCCCACGCGTTTGCTGAAACTTTGACATTATCGAAACAATTTTCATGTTTTGATCCGGTACCAAATACATGTCTAATTAAGTATATTGTATTATAATTAACAAGTTAGTGCTTGATTTTAAATATACACAAGAGGAAGCACCATTAGACTTGAAATTGATATATTTTCGCGTTGTTAACATCATATAATTTCTTGACACTCTAAAAATCAACTGGAAAATATTCTTTACCTAAACTTTGAAGCACGAACAAAACGGGCCATCTATAGAAAGCATATTTATTTAGTAAAAGTTTGGAACTTAAGCGTCTAAATTCATCACACATAGCATGAAAAGAACACATAAAACACACCTTTTCTATGCAAAATATAAATAGACGCGTCAAATTTAAAATAAATTTAGATAGTGGAAAGAGTAGCCGGGAAAGAATGCCCTTTTTTTAATTTGAACAATCAAATCTTTCCATCTTTTTGCGGTTTGCGCGTGTAACCACATTTTTTAAATTTAATGCATTAGATGTCAGTTCACACCTCTTTAAAATCGCACTTTTTCTGATTCCAAGGATGTGATCATACGGAGGTACGACTGTCATCGAGTCTCTATGCATATATTCAAGTCATAGCGAAAAATAAAATCATAAAATATTTTAGCAACAACTAATATCTTAGATTTGACGCGTGCTGCTTGGATTTTTTCTTGATTAATTAATGAGATCAAGTAAAGTTTTAACACTACCGCTACCAAATTGCTATCCTATGAAAAAAAAAAGGTATATTATATTAGTCAATCTAATATAAGTTTTACTAGTAGGTTATGGTTTTAAAGTAATGATTTAGCTTAGGATTGTATTTATAGTCAGAGTATCAAGCAAAATTCGAAATCGAGCCAAAAATTTGTATTAAAATCAAAGTAAAATTGGCTGTTGGTTATTTTAAAAAATGTGAGGGTCTCAAGCAACGCAACGATGGAAAATTCTACTCCCATTGCGTTTGGTTAATCCTTCATAGCAAGATATATCTTTCATCATAATGATGATAAAAGATGATAATGCTCCTTTTGCTGGTTTAATCTAGAGAAAAGTTTAGCCAACACCTTCATTCTTATCATGGCGTTCGTTCTGATTTTCTCTAGCATTTCTCGTATGCCGATTCAAACTAGATAAATAAGATTATCATGTGCTGATTCATGCACGTGTATTTGAAAGATTAATTAATACATATGAACCCTTCTAAATATATTATTTGTTCTAAGCTAATTAAAATTACAGGATTAAATTGAGATTTGTTAATAAAATTTAGTGAAGATTTTATTGAGGTTGTTCCTGCAAAAATTTACAAAAAGGGATGATAAGTAAAATTCAACAATCATAATTTTATAAATAAAACTAATCTTAACCTGTTCTACGAAATTTAACGCGTCTTCTTTAGTAATACAGTTGATGCGGGAAACTTTATTCGAAAACGTGACACCATAGAATTTATCAGCATTTGCCAACATTTCTGGTCGAAATGTCGTTGTTATGAATTGTCCGTTTTCGCATAATTCATGAATCATGGCTATTCGAGTGAAAAAACATTCTGGGTTAACCATGTTACATATTAAACTTCGCTCATAAGAAAAAGCATTACTTACAAGCAACGGCGGTTCGATATTGTGCATCCAGCGCGGCATCAATCTCATCAAATAAGTAAAATGGAGCTGGATCGCACTGTTGTATCGCAAAAATTAAAGTCAGGGCAACTAATGACTTTTGTCCACCAGATAATTGTTGCATTCTTAGACCCTCGTCTGTTTTACTATTAAACGAGACCTGATTTAAAAATTTGAAAGTTTAATTTGGACCATTGTTTAGTTATAAATTTTGTCCAATACGAATTCAAACCTTAATTGCAACTCCTGTATAATTGTCAACAGATCCGCTATCGTTTTGTTCGTTTTCTTCGTCATCATCCTCACTATCATCCTAGAAAAATTTGTTAAACAGAAGAAATCATAAAATTGACGTTTCAAAAAATTATGTGCTCATAATAACAATACCTTATCAAGTCTTCGTTGCATGATAAGTTGCCCTCGTCCTGCAGGTACAAGTTTCTCAAACACCTCTGAAAAATATTTTGCTACTTGCTTAAAGGTACGTTCTATTGCTTCATCTTTCCGTTGATCTAGGACATTTATTAAATCACTAATTGCCTATAGTTAATTAAAGGCTGGCGAGTTAATCGGATGTGGTTGATATATTAAATTGTAAAAGTAATCTAAGTCAAACCCTTTTTGATTGATCCAACTCTTCTTTTCTTTTAGTCAGAGTGTCTCTTTGTTTGGTAAAGTTATTATACTGTTCGAAAGCTTTTTTGTTCACGTGACTATATTGTTTCAAGCCTTCACGCACTTTGTGCAGTTGTTTCAAGAGCTTTATATTGGGATGAAACGCGAAAAAATGAGCATTGAACGTTAAATCATGATTAAAATATATAACTTACTTTCTCAGAAGCAGTGTTTTTATGTTTGGCAAAGGCCTCGTCAGGCAAAGTGCCAAGTTCACGGAGCTTTTTAGTGGCTTCTTCCCTTTTTTTTAATAGAATACTACGATCAGAAAGTTTTTTTTCCATCTCTTTCTCGTGCCGTTGCATCCTTTCCTCACGTTCCCTTTGTGCATTCTGAATTCAAACGAAACGAAATTAGCTTATTAAATTCTTTATCAATTTTAAAAGTCAAAAATTACAAATACCTTGAGATTTTCTATTTCAGCATTTTTCTGATTCAACTCTCTCGAATATTTTTTCAATTCATTACCGATCTCTATTGAGAAAAAATTCAATTACGTCAAGTTTAAATCCGTTGACAAATAAGATGTGAAATTGGTTGATTCGATACTTTTCGAGCGTTCGTTCATATTATTAATGGTTCTCTCCAAATCCGTTTTAACATTATCCACTCCTGCATCATCTTTTGTCGTTAGGCTTTCAATTTGATCATTTAATTCATCTCGACGCCTCCTCAAATTCACATCTAATTCGTTTTCTAATACATTCTTACGCGTTTCAAGCTTTCATTTATAGTGAGAAAAAATTCTTTGAGATAAAGAGAATAGAAGAGTTTCTCGAGTGAAATAGTCGGTAAAATATATACTTCAGATCTTGTAGTAGAAACATCAGCCAGATGTTGTCTCAATTGTTCAACGGCAAAATTGAGTTGCTCAAGCATCTGTTCTTCTTGAGGTGTGAGATTTTTGTTTAAGTCTGTCTGAAGCTCTGCCTCATGTGTTTGACACTGTGAAGTGAGTTTCTTAATGCTCATTTGCAAATTTAGAAGGGATTTTTCCTGTTTGTTTAGCAATTAATTAATGAAGCACGTAGGAGATTTAGAGAATAGTAGCGAGCATAATAAAAATCAAAACCTTATTGGATTTCGAGTCCCTTAAACTCGCTTCTTCTTTTATCTTGGAATTGAGTTCAAAAATAAGAGGATCGCGACTATCCTGTGCCTGACGCCGCCTGGCCTCAAGCAATTGCAACCTACTTAGTACTTGGGTAATCTCTTGATCCAAATGTATATTCAAAAAAGTTAAAGTATAAAAAAGAAATTTGACCAATCTGTTAGAAATAATAAATCAATAAAAGGATATTATTTATTTCTTTTTTAACTAGCAAAGCCTTTTCCTCAAGCTCCTTGCATTCATTTTTGTATTTTTTTAGATTTGATGCGGCTTCCAACCTTCGACGGCGCACGTCATGATAGCCACCTGTTAAGGCACCTTTACGGTCAACTCGATCCCCTATTAGATGCGGAAGTCATTAGAGCTCATCCGGATTATAGTCAAATCAGACCGATAAGATAGATATTATATTAAAATAGTCGCGTGCCTCCAGCGGTTATAGCATTAAGATCGTGACTCCTAGCAATAATTGATGATGATTGGAGATCTTTGCAAATTACAGTTCGGCCAAAAACCTATACATACACGTATTCAAAAAATAATTACGAGTAATCAATTTAGAGAGTCAAAATTGCTGATCGTCTACAAGAGATCTTCACAGGAAAATAACTATAAACCTGTTGAAACGCTTTTTGAAACATTCCATCAAATTGAATAACTTCCAACATTGGTTTAATTTCGTCACTTCTTGGATAATCAAAAGTTTTAGGTCGTAATCGATTCAACGGCATAAAAGTGACGCGTCCATTTCTATCTCGATTAAGTTCTTCTAATACTCTGCTAGCAGTATCGTCTGTATCAACTACCATATGAAATAAACTAATATGCAATAAAGAGAAGCATTCCTCAATTATCGATCAAACAATAAAAGTTGATAAAGATTTGATCAGTTAAACCTTTGCCCAGCAGTAACTTCCACAGCAGTCCAATATGATTCGTCTATGCAATCGAATAATTCATAAAGGGGTCCATAAACCCCGGTGTATCCTCTATTTTGGGCAATTTTCCTCACATTTGCCAACCCTAAACTGGTGTTCTAATGCATAAAGCATATTTAATAAACAATATTAAAAAATAAAATGAGAAAATAAACTAGTTACTTTGTCCATTGAGCTGGCAAGGCTTCTTTCATTCTTCCTATATAAATCACGAGCATTGCTTATTTTTGTTTCCAACTGTGCATCTTCTCTCCAACGCTCCCTATGAAATTATTTGATGAAATATCGTTAAGAATATTGAAATTATGATAGAACTTAATGATACTGACTTTCTGTCGTCGGTTAATTTATCTCGCTGCGTCTTCAATTGATTATACTCCACAGTCATCGCCTCTAAATTAGTCTTTCTTTGTTCAAGCTTTTCACGTGTATTCTGTATCTCAGACGCTGCATTTTCGATAGATCGTGCTATCCCCGCAATTTCATCTTCAAGATCTCGAGTCTAACGTGTCAATCATAAAAAGATGAATAAAAAAATTATTTACTTTTTCATGATCAAAATAATAAATTGATTATTTTTACTTGTTTAGTCTGAGCAGAAATTGTAACTTCGATCTCCTTCATTTCTTTCTTGAGCCATGCATCTCGCTCAGATCGATTACTGAATTGGATGCTTCGTCCTTGTTTCGCATATAGTGTCTGTCTTTGTAATTCTGATTCTTCAAGACTAAATAATAAAAAAATCCTCGCAATATTTAGTCAATACGAAAAATTCACTCAATCTAAATCACTATTTTTAGAATACCGTTCTCTTAATTGGAGTTCACGAGAAACCTCGTTCTCGTATTGTGGTATAACTTGTGTTAATTCAGTTTCTTTTCGCTCTATATCCCGTTCAATAGATCTCAGCTCATTTATTCTTCGACCCTGGATGGAGATAACTAGAATACTCAATCACCACATCATGTAAAAAAATTACCGTAAATAGATATTTTAAATATTTTACTATACCCTCTGTTGTCTATTCTGTTTAGCCGAGTCTTCAAGATCTTTCTTAATTAGCTCAACTTGTGCAAGAGCTTTGATTTGCTCTTGCTTATCTTCGTCGAGTTGTTCTTTTTCAATTGTAAGAAGTTGAATATTTTGTTCAAGTTGTCGGATTTCAGCTTCGATTCTCTTGAATTAGATGCAAAGTCAGTACAACATAACGACGACAATAACAATTTTTTGGAAAGAGTTTTTACTGTGATCGCGCGTTGCTCTTCCTCGAATCCTTTATTCTCTTCATTTGTCCCACTGACACCCCTTTCACGCTCTTTTTCCATCTAAGATGTTATAAACAAGTCATTATTAAATAATCTTACGAGATTAAACATTTCATAGAAAATCAAAAATACTTTTTCCAATTGCGAAGCATATTCTGTCTCTTCACGATGAAAAATAGTGTACTCGAGACACCGACGATCACGATCTAAATCATTAAAATTTTTCAATTCCTCTTTTTCCTCTTCTAGCTCTTCAAGCCTTTCTTCGATGTAAGCTAAAAGCTCCTCGATTTTAGCTCGTTTTGAATCTTGGGAAATAATGAAAGCTTAGCAAAGGATATTCAAACAAATATCAGGTAAATAAATCAAACAAGTACCTGTCTCTTCCATAATTTTCATACTTTCTTGCCTACGCTGTTCGTACACGCGTGTTCCCGCAACTTCTTTAAGTAATTGAAGTCGTTCAGGATCTTTTGCGTTTGTCAAGGCAGTGATCTTTTATGGCCATTTCATAAAAACCTCTGAATTTATTATTAAGAAAAATCAAATTTTTGTAGATAAAAACCAACAATTACCCTTCCTTGCGGAACAATATAATAAGGATTTGATCGAGAAAATCCTGCGCTTTCCAATAGATTCATTACATCGGCTTTTCTGTAATGGTGATTAAAAATAGATAAGTCGTCAATTGCCAATAGTAAATTTTTATTCTTCCTATCCAAGCTTCGAAACCTACGTAGCACTTTTTTTGTCTAATGAATATTCGTCTTTTTTGAGACCAATCGTTCTGCGTAGAACTACTTCATCTTTACCGGTCTACACGAACAATACCAAGAATAAAAGATAAAATTATGCTTCAATACGAAAAAAGGAGCAAGGCAGCCTTGACGCCTGCAAATCAATCAGCATTGGCATCTGAAAGTCTAATGAGATAAAACAGCACTAACTGGAAATCGATTGTCACTATTGTCAAATATAATTTCAACATAGGCTGACATAGTTGCTGGCCCCGTCCCTTCCTTCATGGGTGAACAAATGAAGGATTAATATACAGAGATCAAAGCACCAACCATTTAAACTTTGCAAAATCAAATAAAACCTACGTGAAGAAGCGCTTGCCGCTCCTCTCTACCCATATTGGTGTACGCATCACTGAGTACAAATCGAATTGCTAAAAATAATCATAAATTATTTTACTAATGTGTGTAATGGGGGAGGGGTGTGATAGCGAAGAAAAGGCCTACCAGCGAAAAAATTGCTTTTTCCTGACCCATTCCTTCCAACTAAAAAACATTAGCGCGATAATTAATGAAAAGACGATGCAGCAAGAAGAAATCAAAGCTGGGTTTCAGAGTGACGCGACCGGGTTTATGGGCATACTTACCAACAACGTTATGCCGACCACTGAACGGTTCGATAATAGTCTGGTCTTTATATGATTTGAAACCTTGAATAATAATCTTTGAATGAAATAATTTATTAGGATCCCTTTATATGAAATTAGCGAAATTCTGTAACAGACAGCATGACTACGCGTAAGCTCTCTGTAAAACCCGTGTTGAGCATTAATGTGTTAACCTGTTTGATGTGCATGGCTCAGTATTTTATCAATAAATGCTAGCTAATTCAATCCTAAGTAATGAGCTCCTTCTCTCAGAGAATCAGTCGCAACGCGAAAAGTAAACGAGTTAGAAATTAATTGATATTCCCGTCGCGTCATAAAATGTTCCGGATTAATCCTTGCCAATTTCCATCAAAAGATTATTGTTACACATTTACTAAATCGAGCTTAGCATAAATAGTAACTTTTAAGATACATTAAAAAATTTATGGTCTGGTGCAAAAAGATGTATCTCATAATAAAATTTAATAATTGCTTTTAATAAAACTTATTTAAAAATTAAGAGAATTAATATATATTATCTTATTATTATTTATCAAATATTTTATATATAATATTATATAAGATCTTAAATTTCTCTCTCTCTTTCAATATGATAATATACAGTGGTGACCAAAAATAATGACTCAGGAGCTAAATTTACTAATAAAACATAATGAAAATAAAAATTATTTCTTATTAAAATTATATAGAGAAAATTTTAATTTTTATTATGTTTTATTAGTAAATTTAGTTTCTAAGTCATTACTTTTGGTTACCACTGTATGTTAGTATTTTAACTAATTTTTATATATTAAATAAAGAATAATTTAAATATTTTTTTATTAATAATAATGCTTTTCAAAAAAATAATTTTTATCAATTTGTAATATTAGAGCTTCAAATTATATAGAATATAAAGGATTAGTTAATAAAAATCAAACATCAATTTTTTTCAAAATTTATTTTTTATAGCAAAATAATAAAAATATATATGCTAATTATTTTTTAATTAATAATATATATCAGTTTACATAATAGAATTTTAAAATATTTAAAAAAATTTTTTATATATTAATAATATAAAATACAGAACTTAAAATATAAATTTTTACAAAAAATCAATATTTTATTAATTTGTTTAATTTTTATTATCTATCTTTATAAGTTTCAAATTTTATTTATTATAAAAAATTAAATATTAATTAAATTATTTATTATATAGTATCTTTTTATAAAAACACTCTATATAAGAATAATTTCTTTATTAAAATAATTTCATTTTTCCATGTGATTTGCGTAACTTTGCTTGTCACAATAAAAACAAATTATTTATACATGGGTAAATCGTGATTACCTAAAAAGTCAACAATGTCGAAAACGTCGAACGAGCCACAAGCAATTAAAGATTTCTTCGAAAATAATTCGACTTGAATTTCTTCAGTATAGAAAGAGTTTCAACGATTTTACATATGAAAAAAATAGGGAACATATGATGTATAGGAAAGCTTTGGACTCGTTTCCCAAAAATCACAAGCAAGCTCAAGAGTGTATTCAAGGTTTCGAAGTTAAGTATATGTTATGTTATTACCATTGAGGCGGATGGGTTCAAGGGCTAGAATACGTTCCGGTCCAGAGACAATTACGTGACGTATTGACAAACCCCGAGTAGCCAGCTGAATGCACTTTGGCGGGTGATAGTGGAGTGCGTCTTTCCTCGGGCGTCCTTGAATAGGCTATATGTTATTGCCATAATGCAACTGGATTGGTGCGTCCTAACTGGTTGTCAGACTGTGTTATGGTCCATCTTAGCCTTTTGTATGCCTTTTGTATGGGTTATATGGTAGTTTTAAAAAAATCTTATACTAATGTCCGTTTTCTCTGACAAGAAAAGATTGAGAAGTCTTCTGAAAGTGTCGAAGCTTTTTGGACATCGATCGAGAAAAACTTGTACGAAGATCAAATAAATATCGCAAGGGTAAGTGCATGTACTATAGAATTGACGTGTTTTTTAGCTTCAGTATCAACGCGGTGATCCTAATTATCAACATGACTCCACAAGGCTGATGGAATCCTGCACATGTTCAAGGCAACGAACCAGAGTCAGCAATATGTTACTAATATTCAACACCAAGATCTCCGTAGTTTGTACCCATACCGGTAATCGACATGTGTTTTCTTTATCTTGTTGAATTATTTATGGATTTATTCGGTATATAATTTAGGATAAATTAATAAGAATATTAAAGAAGAAAGATCGAAATGGGTACACTACGCCTTGCCCAATAACAAATTCATTGGAGGATAATCCGGCGGACGAATCAAGATCAAAGAGACGGATACTCGCAAAGACTGATGATGATAGTGTCGGTGCCATAAATATAATTTTGTTCTTATTTCTTTGACTCAAACTGACTGGTCTTACGTTTACAAAGTACAAGAGCGATGAACATGATGAGCGTGGTGATAGTGATGAGGCGAGTGATGAGAATAGTGATGAGGAGAGTGAGAGTGGATTAGTACTAAACACAGAAATAATAGGGTTTGATGACTTTATCGAACAAGCGGGCAAATCTGTAAGTGTTTTTTTCCTTAAATTGACTTAGGGTATGATTTCTCAAACAATAGTAATTTTTATAGTTCACTTTCAAAGCGAAGAATATTTCATCGTTGTTTAAATCATATCGATCTGAAGCATTGTCTCTGGCGCAAGAATCTGGTTTGTCTGTTACAAAAAAACTATCGTGAAATCTTGTAAGCAGAATACTAAACAGGAGGTGTTTAGTAGATTAACATGTTAATAAATGATATTTATTCTTTGAAATTTAGGAGTCTATCGCACGTTCTCTTATTACAAACAGATGATTACTCCGACGTGCAAATAAAAAAGTTTTCCAGAGATACACTTGAGGATCTAAGAAAGGATACCAGGTCAAAGATTCTTGGGAAAGAAAAATTATCTAAAGATATTAAGTCGATCCTTCAAGAATACGTTGAGGTACGGTGTTTTCTCGTGACTTGCATTATTCTCTTTGCTAATAATTTCACTTTAGATTGCTCTTGACGACGAAGATGGTGGATTGAGTAGGCTTCGGAAATTAATAATAGAGTCTTATTCAAAAACATTCAATACACCAGAAGAGCTTGAACTTTTTCAGAAGATGCGGTTATTATTTCAACAATTGTAAATACGGTATTTATCTTAACCTGACTTTCATGAAATGTCTGTGGCACTTGCTAAGGTTTTCTTTAACTATTTTGCAGAGCTAGTAATATTCCAATACATTCATCGAAAGAAAAAATTAGTGAAGGAACATTAATAGCCAACATAATCAGTCCTGTGTTGCGCATTTTCTTTCACGATGTTTCTGTTCACCCTACGATATGGCCAAATACATCCAGTAGTAGTGCCAAGGTTCGGAAGCTCGCTAATAATGACCCTCCTCGCGCTAAGCAACCGAACATGATTGGAAATAATGTTCTTCATAATGGTATTAGAAATAAATTTTTTTTCATGAAAAACATAAACCAGAATTTTCAAAATTTTTCATTTAACATAAACAGGAAGGTTTGCCTATGAGATGATGTATGGAGAGGTAACAGGTGAAGGTAAAATAATACGGAAAAGAAGAACTTAACTGATCTCGTTCGTTTGGGAATTTTTATGAAGGATTCTTTAGATAATATTCTGCAGAAAACCGGTGTCAATTCTATTGTATTTGCATGGCAATCTATTGGTAAGCTGGTCGGTTCTCCAAGAAATTTGGTTTAATTAATATTATTCATTATCACAGTAACAAAATGGACCGGATATTTCATGACCTTGATCGCACCTGGTGTATACATAATGGTAGATGCGGGTATATAGAACTTCCAAGGTCCTTTGAGATCTGTAGCATGTTTTTTACATTTCAGGTATAGCTACTAAATTTCGTCAATTACGATTGATTCTGTATACATTGACTTCAAAACATCTCTAGATAGCATATGAACGAGCTTCGAAGAAAGTCTTATCGGCAATAAATAAGGATGAAGACTCCGAAAACGTCGGGCTCAAAACATGGTGTCGACCGACACTTGGGACATCAGAATTTAAAAAAATCACCGAAATCAAATGAGTCCTGGTTGATGTTTATTCCAGTAGTTAATGTGTATTGTGATATTTAGGATAACCATAAAGTGATGTTCCTTTGAGGTATATTATTAGAGAATAATTGGTCTATTTGTTTTTTGTCGGTATATCTTTTTTTCTTACATTAGTTTAGCGTTTACTGAAAAAAATTTTTTATAAAATATATATTACAATAAATCCTAATATCTAATAGCTTAATTAAAAAGACAGAATTATTGAAGATACAAATCTTTTTATATCAAATATTAAAGGTAATTTTTAAGTAAAAATATGATATGGTCCGGTGCAAAAAGATTAGTACATCAGATAAATATTAATAGATTATTTTTTCAAAATAAAATTTTAATTCTGTCTTATTT